GAGAAGGTTCGGGTGTAGTAGAGGAAGGAGTAGGTGTAGATGGATGAGTGAATAAATCCTCATAAGTGAATGAGGTACCAGGTGCAAAGAAATTGGCAGAGAGTGAGTTGACTAGACTCTTAAGCTCCTTAAGCTATTTGTCCACAACATCAAATCTTTAAGAGACTTCTTTTTCCAAAATCGTCATTGCTTGTTTGTGAAGACCTAAGATGGTGTAAAGCCCTTCAAATTTCTTGTCAAAAATTTCTTTATATTCCTTAGCAGTGGTGTATGGTCTGCTCTCAAAGGCTTGAAGTTCACTTTGGAACAATCCTTGTATGGAAGCTCCATAGAATAAAGGTGTAGAGGTCTGGGTTAGGTCTGTAGAGGACTGAACTTCATCTTGACCCCTCGAGGCACTAGTAGTTGGCTGTTTCCCTTTCCTTTTTCTGCCTTCTTTTGAACTGGTTGGAAGGGCAATGAAATCCTCATCTTGTTTAGTTGAGTGGTTCTAAAAATGAGGATTTTCTCCTTGGTATCTCTAGGTTCTAGATGTGCAATGTTATGCACTTGGAGAAAGTAGAAAACGAGTTGAGAGTAAGGTATGTGTCACACCTCCTTTATTACCTTATTATATGACAATTAGAACCCTTTAAGATCATTATATAGGCCTTAAGTATGAGAAAATCCTCAGGAATTTAAAACTTTTTGTAATTTTAGTCCAGGTCATGATTTGGTACTTCCAGGTCACGACTTTAAGTCATGGAGGCCATTTTTGCTTCCAGGTTTTGACCTCAAATTCCTAGGTTGAGACCTGGGGTTATAGAGAGCCTCTGGTCACTGTTCACTGAAATCTTCTTCAACTTTGAAAATTCATAACTGAATATAGAAAAATTAAAACAAGGCGATTCCAATTTCTATTTGAAGCTTGTCATGTGTAATATAAAGAAAAAAAATACTCATTGGCATCAGATCATTACGAAACAGAGCCAAAAAAATTGTCAAATTGCTCTGTTTATATGGTCATTTTCTAATTTTCTAGTATTTTAGCCTAATTTTGGATTTGCACACAGATCCATTTTAAATGATCTACTACTTGTTTTGAAGATTAGGATGTGTACTTTAACCATGCCAAATTTCATAGGCAAAATCAACCATTTGGCATACTTCCACTATATCACTGTTTTGTTGCTCAATTAGAGATAGTTTATCCCCTTAACTTATATTAACAATTCATGATTAATTCCTTCCATGCATAATACCATTCCATCAATCCATAGACTATTCACCATACATTATCATAGTTAGCTATACATGCCATCATCATTATTTATGATCCCGTAACATTAATGGCATGTTCATATCATATATTAACATACAAGTTATACAATTTAATACAATGAATTCTTTTAATTTTTTTCCTCTTTCCTTGCTTCCACTTCATGCATCCTTTACTTAATCATTATCACCTATTATGATTGGTTAAGGGAGAGTGAGATTCTTGAGAATTTCAGTAGCAAACATTATCACATACATTTGCAAGATGGATGCTAATGTATGGTATGTAATTTTTCATGAACTTAGGTTAGCTAGTGACATTAACAATAACAATAGGAGTCCAGGTGAAGAAGCTTCATGAAGAAGAGGATCAGACACAAGTGGTCATCAAACACCCCTGCAAGGCCAAGAGGCAGACTGGGGTTGGGGATGAAAACATAACAATGAAAAGAAAAGAGGCTAAAGTATTGCCACGGTGCCCCCGTTGTAACATTTGTTATAAATGCTTGTTTTAAACACTTAGTTTAACACTAATATATGTGATTTGACGAGGATGAAGTGGTGAGCAGTAACATTGTAACATTGTATGTGGCAGATTGTAAGGCAACTTTATCACGAGGACTACGTTTTGCTCATCAGAGTTGTGTTTTCAAAGGTTTTTTCTGTTGTGGCCATAGATTATTATTTAGCTTTATGCGCAATTATGTTGAAACTGTCTTCAAAACCTCTTCCATTACGACATATGTTTTGGGGGTGTTTGAAAATCCTCATTCGCCACGCCATAAGCAAGTTTGGTGTGTCATCAGTAGTGTAGTTTTTGGACAAAAATTTGTTTCCCCAATAGTTACGTTTTCTTTTTGGGAAAACCATATTGGAGAGATATCTATTTTTTTTTCCAATTTTTAATTTGGTGTTCATTTGTTTTTTCCTTTAACAACATTAATTCTTATAACTTTGTTCGATTAGAATATCTATGAATTTTTTCAGACCATAACACTTTCTTTAAGTCTTGTATAAAAATCACTTACTAAAATTTCCTTTTATTAGCATCATCAGTTTTTTAATTTATTAAAGCTATTCTACTAGCCTTTTGGTTGCGGGACTAATTTCATAAATTATTACAACCTTTCAACCATTTAATCTCATTTTTGTGTATATTTTTGAGGTCTCTTGCTAATTTAAATAATTACACCAAACAGTATACTTTTTACCAGCAATAACCTTATAAATTCCATTTAAGCTGCCTCAGGGGTATTATTATCATTTCTTTTCACAAAAGAGTTTTTGAATATTATTTCTCATTTTTTTTAGATTTCCTTGGAAATTTTCTACATACTTTTCATTTTTACCTCCTGTTGGCCGTAACTTTTTGAATTTATAATTTAGTCTCTACTTGGACTTAACCTTATAAAACCATCTTGTTGAGGCGTTTAACTTAACTTTTGGCCCGTATCTAGCCTCTTTTCTCTTTCTGGCCATCGAGACTTTACTAAAGCCTCTAACTTTGATTACACTTTAGCCCCTAATCATTTTCACTTTACAGTTTAGTCCTTGAAACTGCTTTAACTTTCTTTTTCTTCTTTGAGACCTTTGCTAAAAAAGAGTTTGGTAGCCTATCCAATTTAGACATTTCTGGTATTTTTAGGCCTAAAAGTGGGGATGTTACAATTTGGCACCACATATACTATCTCAATAGTATTGATCATTGCTTTATTATTTACCAATTGTAAATGAAAACCAATTATAAAATACAATACCATAATTAGTACTACATGATGAATAAATAAAAATGCAAAATGTTCCATTAGGTCCTATTCATTGGTGTTTTGGTATAGCAACAAATTTTCAAAAATTGGTTCATGGTCCTACAACCCCAATAAAAGTCTCTAACCATTATAAAGAGCATTAACCATCCAAAGCATTATAGAGAAAGCAAAATGATAAGTTTAGCCACATTTTGTTCCTATCCCTAAATCATAGAACTTCTTTAAAACACTCATGGAATTTATTTCTAAAGCATATGCAGAAGGCAACACAATTGACATGAATTCGGATATATCCTACAATATACCATAAAGTTAGTTTTAAATAGTGAACTCATTGAGGATTAGCAAAGAGGGAATTAATTGAGTTTGGAATATTATTTATAACTTACTTACATGATATACACATAGTAAAACTCTAAATCAGTTACTCCAAATAATGATGCAAGTTATGAAAAGGATTGATTAAAGTTAGATTAATGATTAAGAAGAACAAAAGAATAGAAAACAAGTGGTTTTGTGATAAAATTGGAAAGAATTCAACCTCTCCTTAACCTTTGTGTATTTTCAGCCAAACCTAAGGATTGAGTTAGGGTTGGATTTTAATGATTTTCATGCTTTTAATGTGCTTAAAGTGAAAAATTGTGTAGTGTACAAGTGAAAAAGTAAGTTTGCAACCATTAAAATTGAAAATAGAATATTTATCCTAAAACCCTACATGTTTTGCCCAATGCTTATTCATGGAGAAGGAGTTGGATTTTATAAATTTTGAGGTTGGAAATAGATTCTACATACAAAATTATGTGGGAATGCCACATGGAATTAATTTTAGAAAGATTAGATTGGAAGTCCAAAAATTAGAAGTTAAAGTATGTTCAAGAGAGCTATGTCTAGAAATGGCTTATTGTTATGGCTCTAATAAGTGAACGGTACAATGTTAATATAATTAGGGCCATGTGATGTTAAGGAAGATGAAGAGAAAAGTTAATCAATCAACTTCAAGGATTGGTTGCAAAGGAACCAGAGAAAGGATGTGATAAGTTAAAGTAGTAAACTTTACCATACTTTTATCTACTTAGCATTTGCTTGAATGTATAACATGTTTGTTTTCTTTGTGATTCTATGAACTCATGCTTTTTGTATGTGATAATAGTTGAAGCATGTCATGGGTCTATGAGTTTTATGATTAATGCATGATAGTTTCCAAACATATCATTATGTCATGAGAATGTTAAATTTACAAGCACGCTATAAATACCAAGCTATGCCTCATATATTTGAGTGGTAATTGTTTGCTACTAAGATTCTCTTGAATCTCACCCTATCCTAACCATCCATAATAGGTATTATGTGTCAAGATGAAGAATGCGTGATGAGGATCAAAAGCAAGAAGAGAAGAATTAGAGAAATATGTTTATTTATTATAATGTAATATTTCTCCTTTATCTTGATATATTCATGAACATGCCTATGATGTTATATAATGATGAGCATTGAGAATAGCATGTAAGATTAAGCATGATGATACTTGAGAATGATTTATGGAAATGGTTGCATGCATGCTAATGTTTGTTTATAGCATGCTAATTTCAATAGGAGAATAAACATTTCAACAGTGACCAGCATAATTGAGACAGAGCAAAAGTGAAGCAAAGAATAAATCTACCATGATATTTTATAAGTAACAATACACACTCTAAGCTTCAAAATGAGTAGAAGATTACCTAACCTGGATATATGCACTAAAAGATATGATTTTCACAATTAGAATAGAAAAACTATAAAGTACTATTTGACCAAATGAATAGTACATCTTCACATTATTTTTCTGTATTGAATAGGCAAGTAAATGAACCAAAAAGTATTTTTTTTTCCTATAGAGAATTAAAAGAGCTTTAAATGGAGACTTGAATCACCTTAATACAAACTTTTTTTGGACTAAAAAATTAGAATTTACCAAATGAATAATAATCCGAGAATAAAAATATAACTTTTCAATGCATGGGCTTGAATACATACTAAATAGGGGTTAAATGATAGGTGTTAGCCTATCTTGACCAAATTGACCAAAATTTTGTCAATAATACAACATCTTAATAATGTTATAAAACTCAAGGCAATTTTCATTAGGCGTAGAGCAAGTAACTATGGATTAGTTTCAAAATAAGATAGGTATTAATGGTCTCTCTAGTAAACCCCTATATTGGAGTAAACCAATTACTTCAGACATCGTTGGTCTAAGTGTAGCAGATTCTTGGGTGCAAAGTAGGCCAATTTCTATGATTTTCTTTACTTCTTCTGCATCATAGTCATTGGATTCCAAGGTATTGTCCACCAACTCTAAAGGTGTGCCACTTGCATATAGTTTCCAAGCCTACAAGTAGGATCAAAGTGAAATGAAATAAGAAAAGGGAAGAAAAAATAATACAAACTGATGTTTTACCCCAAAAAAAAAAAAGACGTTAGTTCTTGTTCCTTTTTAGAAAAAAAAATAGAATTATCATTCTTAAAAGAGTTAATTGTTTTACTGACTTGTTAAAAAAAAGCCTATTGCATGTAAACTTCCTAAAATGACTGAATTTTTTTAATAGTTATTTTCTTACCTTTTGTAAAAGGAATTCACCTTCAACATCATCATTAACCTTCAATTCCTTACTTTTTTGACCACTGATTATTTCTAAAACAACCACACCATAGCTGTAGACATCAACCTTCTCAGATAGTTGGCCATGAATTGCATACTCTGGTGCTGCATATCCTCTATAATATGCATAATAATTTTAACATTATGGATCCAAAATAACATGCATGCATGTGCATAAACATAAATTTTAAGTCACAATTGCTTATAGACATGCATGTACAATATAATATTGTGCCATGAAAATGGATACGAACTCTTTTTTAATATTCATGCTTTACAAAGAAAAGAGAAAGTTTAAATTATTTATTAGTGTAGCATAGGTATTCTATATATCATCCTTAATATACATCTTGGTTAATGTGTGAAGTATTCATGTATTATATTAATAGTTAAAATAATTAGACAAATATAATTGATTTAACTTACAATGTTCCTGCAAAGTTTGCACTAAGATGATATTTCTCCTCATGTAAAAGTCTTGCCAATCCAAAGTCAGCAATTTTAGGCTGAAGATCATCATCTAAGAGGATGTTATTAGGCTTTATATCTCTATGTACTATACGAATATGTAATTCTTCATGTAAATAGGCCAAACCCCTTGCCATGCCTAGAATTATATCATATCGCTGCTTCCAGTTGAGAAAACCTTTCCTTTTACCTGTTTTCAAGCTTATAAATGATGAGGGCTAGCAGTGCAAAAGTAGAAAGAATCATGATGAAATAATGCTCAGGAGATAGAAGACAATTATACATGTTTGCTTGTACTTAACAAATATTTTTGTAATTATGTGGTTTGGTTAAAAATATATGCACAAGTTATAATGTGATAAAGATGAATATTAGGAAACACTTAATGAATAGTATAAAATATTGTAATTGATAGGATATTACCGAATATGAATTTGTCAAGACTGTTGTTCTCCATGTACTCATAAACAAGGATTCTATCATAGTCTTTAATACACCATCCCAAAAGTCGGATAAGGTTGCGATGATGAACATTACTGATAAGCTTCACTTCACTTTCAAAATCTTCTTGTATCCTTTTTGAGCTGCATAAATTTAATTTCTTGATTGCAACTACTTTTCCATTTTTCAAATTTCCCTGTTTATTAGAATTAAGAATTTCAATTATGAAATTATGTTCATGACTTGTGTAAGAGACAACTTAAGTTTAGAGAGAACATGTTTTTGATTAAAAATATTGGAAGTACAAGAAATCTACCTTATATACAGCACCAAATCCACCCTCTCCTAGTTTATTTTGTTCCCTAAAATTATTAGTTGCATACTCCAACTCGTTATAGTTGTAAGTAACCAGACCATTCAAATTGGTTGCTTCAATTATGTCTCCTGTTGGTGAAAACATCAATTAGATATGCTTCATAAATTAAAAAGGAAAAAACCATTCATTCTTAGAAATAAACATCCATCACTCACTTTTTCATTTATGTAAAATATTAAAACCAAAGCATCATGTTTAGCCTTTTAAAACTAATACATACATATATATTAATTGTAAACCTTTCAAATAGTATTTACCTATGGAAGCCTTAGTAGTTTTTGGTAGTCTAATCCAAGCAAATAATGCAAGAAGGATAAAAGCAAATGCTGCACCTCCGAAAACTTCACCAATGATAGCCCCTTTATCCCTTGAACCTGCAAGGGAAAAAAACTATCCAAGTTAACACTAATTAACATGATGCATATCCAACATAAAGTTTAAAAGTACATACAAACAATTAAATTGTCATATGTTGCAATTAGGTATTATATTTAAATCCTTGAATGAATTGTGTAATATCCCACATTTTAGGTCTAGAGATATAAGAAATAGCCTAAAATAGGCAAGTTATTGGATCCTAATTGGCAGGAGTCCCAGAAGTTTTCTAAAAGAATAAAAGAATTCTCAAGGACTAATTTGCAAGGTGAAAGTTTTCTAGAATCGAGAAATAAGAAAGATAGAGACTCTAATAAAGTCTCGAGTGCTAAGTAAGAAGAATGAGAATGAATATGAGCTAAAGATTATACTTAAAACCTCAAAGGGATGATTCTTGAAGTTAAACCCTAGTAGAGACCTACTTGTAATTTTGAAAGGTTTCAGGCCGAAAAGGTTATTGATGGAAAGTATGCCTGAAAATTTCAAAAAATGGGAAATGAGGTGTTTAGGCCCATCCAAGGTTAAAAATGATGAAAATACCCATGAAATGGATTTTTAATAAATTGACTAAAATTAATTATTTAAAATATAAGAAGGCCTAAAATAGTTAGACAAAGATGGGAAATAATTATTTAAAGAATTACGTAAGATTGTAAAAGTACCCCCAACCCTTAAAAGAAAAGAGGTTAGCTTTAGAATAATTTAAAGCCGAATTTTACAGAGAGGAGGGTATCTCGAGAAAGTCAAAATAGACTACTCATAAGTTAGAGTTTGACTTGAAAAAAATTAGACAAATTCTTCATGAAAAAAAAAGTTAGCAGTACCCAAAAATAGATTCTCGGAGTTATGGACTGATAGAAAGAATTTGGTTAAATTTACTCTGACATAAATATTATTAAATGTTTAATAGAGAGACAACAGGAAAAGCATCTCTCTCTATCTGCATGCATATATAATGCCATGTGAAATTATTTGTGAAGAAAAAGGGTGTCAAAACATGTCCTAATAGTACCGGATAGGTCAGGACCTGAAAAAGTACTCGATATAGTATAAAATTGTGAAATAAGTGCAGGAATAGTCAAAGGTGAGAGGGAGTATGAATTTCTCTCTATCTTATTTCCTATTTTAATGTTAATTTAATGAGGAGACATGAAAGGATATACAATTTGTCTAAGGGTATAATTGAAAAAAGTTAAATTATAATAAAATATTGTTTTATAATCACATGTGCATTAGGTAGCATAATGTAACATCCTGAATTTTAGATTTAGAAGTACCAAAATTAACTTAAAATGGGCAAGCTATTAGACTCCCTTTTAGCAAGAGTTCCAAAAGTCTCCTGGAAAGATAAGAAGATTCCTAAGGACTAAATCACAAAGTAAGGATTTTCTAAATCACAAGACAGGCAAGTTAGAGACTTTGATAAAGTCTCAAGAGCTCGGGTATGGGAATTAGAAATGGTTAAGGGGAAAAAGTTATATTGGAAACCTCAGTGAGATAATCCTTCAGGCTAAACCTAAGCAAGGACTTAATCATAAATTCAGAAAGTTTGGGCCGGAAAGGATAGTAATGGAAAGTATGCCCAAAAATTCTGTAAAAATTTCAGAAAAATGAGAAATGAGGTTTTGAGGCCTGTACGAGGCTAAAAATAACAAAAATACCACTAGAGCAGATTGATAAAATTTCTAGATTTTTGGCTAATTATGAATACTAGCAAAAATTAAATTATTTAAAATATGAGGAGATCTCAGATAATTGGAGAAAAATCAGAAATAAATACCTGAGGAATTATTATAGGTTTTAAAAATGATTTCGTCCCTAGAAAGCAAAGTTGTTGGCTTTAACAAAATTTAAAACTTTTTTATACGCTATCTGAAATGTTTATGGGTTGACTTTTGGGCTGATAAAATTTAGAGAATTTCCTCATAATGAAATGGCAGTATTAGTACCCAGAGACAGATTCTCAAATTCATGAACCGATAAAGAGAATGTAATCAAGTTTATTCTGAAATAAATATCATTAAATGTTTTAATAAAAGAACAAAGGGAAGAGCATCCCCCCTCTATATGCATGTTATATAATGCCATGTGAGGTTATCTATAATAAAAAAGGTACCAGAATATGTCCCAGGGTTATAGGGTAAGTTAAGACCCAAAAAAGTACCCGATACTGATGTAAAATAAAATAGGTGGAGGAATAATTAAGGATAAGAGGGAGCACAAATTTCTCCTTATTTTGCTCCCTATTTTAATGCAAATTTAATGAGGGGACATGGAGGAAATTATACAATTTGTTGAGATGCATGTTTGGAAGAAATGGAATTGTGTAATAAAATATTATTTGTGATCACATGTGTGATGGCAAGTGTTTAAGCAAGATGGCTTAGGATTTGTACACTTGGCATAACACATTTAGATTTTTTCCCCCCATTCCCTATCATTTTACATACTTCTTAGTCTAAACTAGATAATGCATTCTAAGTAAATCTCAACCAAACAAAAAGCATCAGTAGCAGTGAATAATCATATATCTCAACATTTATTCAAAATATTCTGACCCAATTAAGTGCCTGTAAAATATGCAATCTATTTGAAGTTTAAAACCATACCTTGTTTCAAAAAGTGGTTGATATCAATGGTTTGATTATCAGCAAAAAAGGCATTTGTGGAGTATCTCATGAAACAACCAGCTTCATAAGCCCTCGCATTTGAGTTGGGAAGACAAGTATGAAAGTTGATTAACGCATGGTAAAGGCAATCCTGGCAACCACTTTGTGAGACTGTCTCAACACATTGAGCAAAGGCATAAATATATAAGCCATGACTATTAGGCACAGGTGTCTTGGTAGCTGCAAAAAAATTTGGGATTCTTGGGATTACTATGTTCAAATTCGTTAGCACTTCTTGCGCCGTTGAGGCAAGCATAGAGGAATTTTTCACTTGCTTCCCACAAAATATGCTACTAGGGTAGTCTCTAGCTAGGTTGAAGAAGTAAAGGTTGTCATACCTGCATCAAACACGCATCAAAGGCATATAAAAGGTTGTCACCAAATGTCTTTTTCGGTATTTGGCTAGGTTGAAGAAGTTAAAATATTCCTTTAATCATTATTTCTATTATTGAAAACCCTTTTAATATATCCTATCAATATTATAACTCAGGAAAATATTTAATTTGATAGACAAAATGAATTATTGGGATTTTACCTATAATACCAAATCAAAATTCGTAACTATTGTCTATATTTAGGGTCGAAAAGTATCTGTCTCTTTGGAAGATAGCTTACTGCAAACGTCCTTTAGAACACAGAAAATTTCCGAAATACAAATGAAAATACGTCTAGCATGCTCTATTCATAACTTCTAGTTTCATTACTTCTTAGAGACATATTATTAATTAAATCAAGTTTTCATTCTTCTTAACTGGTTAATTTTCATTCTAAAAAGGCCATTATTATTTGATGCCAAATTAAAGAAATGAGACTATTATTAGACATTAGTTTTCCAAATTTATAAATAATCATTTTATTTCAGTCAAATATATGTAACATATTAAATAACGTTATTCACGAATATCCAGGAGCTACAATAAAATGAATCACACGTAAGGATTTTTCCCCAACCAAACCCATGTAAGGATCTCAACTTTTAAAATGACTCCCAAGATTCAATGTCCAATAATGAAGCATTAAATCATTAACTTGCGATTCAAATAATATTTTTACGTTCTCTTCTTTATTACTTCCTTATTGTCTTTTTATAAGAAACATTTAACAATATCATTTAGATAAAAAAAATGGTTAAAATTGGTTAGAAACAATAAATATACAAAAATTGTAATTTTTTTAAGGGAAAATTACACTCAGGTCTCACAGAGTACAATTAATATCAAAAAGGTCCCACGAAATCGCGAAATGATTCTGAAGTCCCTAGGGACCTGTGTATAATTAATTCTAATTGTGAAATTACCTACTTACCCCTGTTAATTTTATTGCAACGATTCGTTTACAATCTCAACAGTGGCTGTTAACAACCCGAGAAGACGTGATTGACAACCTCGGCAGTGCTCATGACAACTCACTTTGTGGAATGCCAGGGGCGTTGTTGAGATTGTTAATCACCTCTTCTCGGGTTGTTAACAGCCACTGTTGATGTTGTAAATAGGTTCTAATTTTATTTACAATCTCAACAGTGCCGTTAACAACCCGAGAAGACGTGATTGACAACCTCGGCAGTGCTCATGACAACTCACTCTGTGGAATACCAGGGGCGTTGTTGAGGTTGTTAACCACCTCTTCTCGGGTTGTTAACAGCCACTGTTGAGGTTGTAAATAGGTTCAAATCAACAGGGGTAACTACGTAATTTCACAATTAGAATTAATTACACACAGGTCCCTGGGGACTTCAGAATCATTTCACGATTTCGAGGGACCTTTTTGATATTAATTGTGTTCTGTGGGACCTGAGTGTAATTTTCCCTTTTTTTTAATCAAAAATACAGGGGAGATTGTATAAGTGAGAATAAGGAAATGAACCAATGATGCTTCAGTATAATAAGATAATAAATATATTAAGTATTAAAATAAGTACTTAGTGAGGGTGAAATGGGAAAACTAGCCAAAAAATTTGACGAGAAGGTAGAGAAGGTGGTTTTTTTTTTTTAAAGGATGGAGGGAGTAGTTGGACCAGCTCTCTTCAATATAGGTTATATATGACCTCTAATCCTTAATATAAAAAGCTAGTTTGATTTTTATTTTGGCTTTAAATATAAGCCCCAATTCATTTTATCTCTCATATTTATTTATTTATTTTTTAAAGTAGTCATTATAGTAGTTGTACATGTTGAAAATTCCATCAAATAATAGTTCTAACTAATACACATGATTAACAATGATATTTTAGAGAAGATGACGCCTGATTATTTAACAAACTTCTTTAATATACTTAAATTAGTTAACTAGTTTTTATATTAAGGACTGAAGTTAATATGAAGATTGTTAAAAGCGGTATAGTTCAGTTAGAACCATAGACATAGGAAAAAGGCTTTAATAATCTTTGCATCGATAGCGAACACTCATGAATCATCTGGCTATCAATTTGATCATAGAAATTGGAGATCTTACCGTGTATCATTGGATTGTTACCTTTGACTATTTGTATATGAAAGAGAATATATGTGGCAAAATTGACTTGTTTAGAAGGGACACCATCTCAATGACACCACTGTTTTGTCAATCTCTTCCATATGGTGTATGCACTTGCTTTTAGTATATGTAATGACCTACTTTGATAGCCAGTCATTATGTTTGTAATAGCCTATTCAAGAAAGGATTTAATTATCCTAAAATCCATTGACAACTAAGGAGTATATAATAACAAGTTTTAGTATAAAAACCAACAACTGTTTATGCTGTTTATTTGTCATTGAGATTTTTTGGTAATTAATTTTTTTTTTCTTGAGACCTTATAATAGTTCTTCCTTTCTTTTTCTTTCATATATGTAATCATGGGTATTAATAATATTGTTTTTTTTTCCAGAGAAAAGAAGAAGAATTGACAGGCTTACAAAATTCATCACATGAGTGTCGGTTATTAAGCCCCCAATTAACATCTTCCCTTCTTTTTTTTTTTTTGAGGGCACATTCTGTGCTCAAAGTGTTTATCTTAATTTGAACTATTTAGATTGATTTTGAATGGTTCAAATTGAATTTAAAGTTTTTATGTATTTTAATCAATTTTTTATTTTAATAGATATACAATTTAAAATAAAGAAAATCTTACAACTAACATTTCTTTAAAAAATAAATCTATCATTAACAAAAATTGCATGTTAAATATTTTAAATTTAAATCATCTATATTAAATCTTAGACTGCTTAAATTATACTACCTTCGGTTCTTAATATAAGACCCTATTTGATTTTTATTTTAATCCTAAATATAAGATCCCAATCTACTTTGTCTCTCATATTTATATATTTTTTTTCAAAATAGCCCTTCTAACAATAATAGTTCTAGTCAATACACTTGATTAGCAAAGATATTTTAAGAAAGACAACACCTATTTAGAACAAATAACTAACTCAACTTATTTCTTTAATTTTTTCAAATTAGTCAATTAGCTCTTATAATTAGAATCGGATGTAGTATTACAGCAATGAGCGCATTGTGATGGTTTTTATTTTTTGTCAAATCAAAGTTGGAGTACTTTTACCTGAGAAAGCAGTCATCGTAGAGGATTCTAGCCCACTTCAATCCCACGGAGCAGTTTCGTGCATTCACAGCGGCGGAGTCGAAGCAAGCGAGACAGTCAGGAATGGAAAGGTAGTTTCTGCACTGAAAAGACCATAGGCGGGATTGTGGCCTTTCAATGACTGTGCCGTGGCGAAGTGTTTGCTTTGGTCTCTGACTTGCTCTCTCAGGTGCTGTAATGTCGCGTTTAGGTTCTCATGAAAGATGGACACGTCACTGGCGTTGTGTTTGCTGCACCGCATTTTCAAAATAGTACCCTGCGGATCTGAAACGACGCCGTCAAAGGTCCACCATGAGCAGAGTATGAGGCTTAAGAAGAGGGGGGCCTTTTGTTGCAGTAGCAGAAGCATGATGAGAGAGAGAGAGAGAGAGAGAGGACGATGGATGAAGAATAGTGAAGGGATGAGTCTGTTTATTATAGATAAATTAGGTAAGCTCTAGTCTTTTATCGCTCTGGGCCATGGTTTGAAATTTCGAAGTCCTCCACCATTAGTAGCCAAAACCTCATCACAAGGAAAAGCGGATTCAAAATTCTTTTAGAATTTTCAACTCTCTCATTTTTCCTCATAATCTCATTTGTACTATTAAATATAAAAAAATTGATTCAGATTTACTATTGTATAAAACTATTATTAAGATATTTTATGAGTTAAACTTTTTTATTATGCAGAGATTAAACTGTTTGAAGCAATTTTAATTGTAGCTTTTATGTTATGCCTCGTTTATTGTGTTCTTCAATTATGCATGTATGCCTAACTTCATGTATTTTTCTTCTTTCATATACTATAATTGAATATGTTATTTAAAAAAATAAATTTTAACTATTTAAATCTATTTAATTATTTTTATTGTATTATAATGATATTTTAATTTAATAGTGGAGATGAGATTGTGAGAAGGGAAAAAAGGGAAAAGAATTCTTAGAGCATCTCAATCCCTTGATTACCCAGTACCTGGCGTAAGGGAGAGTACTACGTCCAAGAACCAAATTAAAGGGGGTAGGTAGATACGAAAGGAGGACTAAAAATATACCCAACAAAGTGGACATCGTCACTCAAATGAAGATGACCCCGCAACTGCAACGTTGAAAAAGCAATCCTGCGTGTCTGCGTGACTCTTCAACAGTGGTCAAAAAGACAAATCTCTCGCAGCAACAAGACATGACTTGCATGCTTATTTACTTGCGTGTTTTTGATAATTTGACAAAGTATTAATATGATGTTCGGGCTATATAATCTGTTTTTATTTTGGTTTTGATATCTATAATTTTGAGCTATAGGTTTTGGCTTTGCAACGTTAGTTCTTAGAGCAAATGTACAAAAATATCCATGAACAATTGTCAAAAGTGCAGCTGGACCATAAACAAATCATGGGTCTAAAATCTAAATACACTTACAATCAATTCAAAATAGGTCTAAAATGCTAGCTTTGTTAACCCACCAAACGTCCGTCCATCTTAAATGGTGGGACCCTTTTTTTCTTTTGACCAGGTGTTATCCACTGTATTTTCGATCAAGCCCGTTTAAAATCTTGGGCATATTTTCGATAAAGTCCTTGTAACATTACCACAAAAAGACCTTTAACAGCAATTAAAAAACGCTTTTCATAGTGGCTTTTAAGAAATAGTGAATCTTGTTGACATTATAAACAAAGAATTTCACGACAGTTTATAACAACCATGAAAAACTAGTTTTTACGATGGTTTTATAAAGTAATCGCCATGAAAAAG